TTGACATTTTGTGAAGAGACATTTCTATCTTTCTTCTTCTTCTTCTTTCTCGTGTCTTACCCTTTCAGGCCTTTGGCGATCATCGACCTCCACAAAACCCGATCTTTAACACTTTGTAGTAGTTGAAATGTGGTGATATTCAACGAGGACTTTACAAATGTTAATCATTGTTGACCGCGATCTCTTTTTCTTGCAATCTTTCCAGGAGTTGTTAGATTTTCCATTTTTTCCTTTCGCATGATTTGACCGAAAAACTGCCCCGTCGGATTATCTGTAGTAATTTTTTCTTTTCATTACCGGACTGTTTTAATACATCCTCATTTAAAGTATGAGAGGTCCAACTAAATTTTATATAATTCTTCTCCAAAACCACATCTCAGCACCATCAATCTTTTTTCCCATTTCTTTAAAAATTGTCCAGGACTCTGAGCCGTAAGCTAGCACAGGGAAAATGTAACACTCTAACGGTTTTAATTTTGCTGATATTGTGATTTTATTGTTGGTGAGGATGTTTTTTATTTTAGAATATGTATCATTTGCTATAGCTTTCCTTTTTTGATTTTACTGTTGGTGAGGATGTTTTTTATTTTAGAATATGCATCATTTGCCATAGCTTTCCCTTTGATATCTACATCACATTTAGAACCTGAGGTAATCAGACTTCCGAGATACTTGAAGCTGCTAACTTGTTTCGCCTGTTTATCATTAATGATTATAGAGCAGATCGGGGCGGTTTTGCTTTTACTAATAACCATGCATTCTGTTTTGTTGATGTTAATTTGCTAGCCTTTCTTTTCACTTTCAAAACCCAGTTTGGAAACAATTGCTTGCAATTTTTCCATTATCATCGGCATATCTTACATTGATAATATTCACGCCTCCAATGAATATTCCATGTAGATCTTCTATCTTACTTATGATGATCTTACTATAGAGATTGTACAGGTCTGGAGAGAATATACAGCCTTGCCTAACATCTTTCTTCATTTCGACAAAACTAGTCTTCTTGTCACCAACTTTCATCGCTGCTCTTTGTTCCCAATAGACAGTACGGGATTAAGCAATAAGCACCTTAAGCACGTGCTTAGGGCACCGCATGAAAAGGGGCACCGCAACGAGCCACCACAATTTTTTGTAATTACTAAATTGTTGCATAAACTAGCGTGATGTTCATTTGAGATGAATTAGTCATATTAATTAACTAACAATGTCAACGGACCACGGTCTATGTTGTGTGGACATAGAGTTACTTATTTAATTTAACTTATGATTAAAGATTAAAGCTCTAGCCGCTACCTTCCATCTTCTAATAATTACATGATGTATGTGTTATGTGTATATAAAATTGTAAATACTTGGATTTGGTTGGTTGTTCGGGCACCATAATTGTAAAGTGCTTATGGCCCCTGAATATGTTAATCCGGCCCTGCCAATAGAGGTTTTTGATAACTCTCGTGTATTTTCCATCAATGTCCAAATTTTCAAATCCTTCCATGAGCTCCACGTGTTTCACGCCATCAACAGCTTTAGAGTAATTGACAAAACATATAAACAAGTCTTTCCTCATTTCAATCGCTCGTCCACTGATCATTCGTAGCATAAAGATAGGGTTTTTTTTGTGCCACAATAATAATAAAAATTTGTAATTCAATAAACACATTTTTGAAACAAAAACAATAATTTCAATAAATAACAAAGTTCAAATAAGAAAACGAAAAGGCGGTTAACAAAAATCCAATATTATAAATTACAGTTTAAGATAAATAAAGTAAATTTGTACTGATGTTATTATTATGAATGCTATGCATTCATAATGCTTCGTACAAATACTCAAATCATTAATTATTATCCTTTTCTTTCTCTTTAA